AAGGAAAAAAATTATAGGCAAGGAACTGAAGATGGCAGTTCAAGCAGCCTGCCAATGCTTACAAAGGAAAATCTGTGCTAGACTAGGAACTGGACCCAGACATCCTGCGTGTCAGCCCAGCCTTAACCACAAGAACTGTCCCTCTTCTGTTTCACAAATATTATTACAAATTATCTGCCTGTTCACTGAATCCTTATGACTCATTAGTCATGAGCAGCGGAGTAAAACCATTGCATTCTTTGTGAAGATGTAACACTTTGGGTTTGGGTTTTTCTTTGGTACCACTCCACTAAGGCGTCATTGACTGAAATGTGGGCTGTGATTTGGCTCTTTCCAGATTTAGAGATAGTTGGCAGTCATTGTTCTGTGTACATAGCTGGGATTCTCACAGGATATTCTATGATAAATAGACTGGGAAAAAGAGAACATCATAACTTTAGCATTTTAGATGCCAGAGTGAACACCTGAATAAGTGAACTTTGTCTTACAGATACGGAATGTAGGCAAAGGTCTCTGGAGACATTTTAGGTGGTAAAATATTTGAAGCCAACTGGTGTTTGGGATCTTTGGGAGCAACACCTCTTCATTCTGCCTGTTTGGATACCTCTGGAAATGCCTTTATGATTTCTCAGAACCAAGGATAAAATCCAAAAGGTATCTCTGTTCATAAGGAACACAGCTTGCCCACAAGACTTGACTTGTTAAGTGTAAGCTGTTAAAATCATGCCTTACTGCCCAGTGAGGCTACCTTTAACCGAGATCAGTTAGAGAAATGTTGATTGTGTGGCTTATGCCAGTATTATTTCCAAGAAGCCCACATTTCAACCTCAGGTTTTATCTAAACATGATCAATGGACAACCTATAGCCTGAAAAAAGAGGTGGGAATCACAGTGGTGAGCGTGAGGAAACATAACTCTAAGTCTACTCATCATATTTTAGAGGAAAAATGTCTGTGAGGCATGCAAGGATAATAGCCTTTGCTAGGACATGCCTCTTAACTGGGCAGTGTATTTTGATAAATCCTTGAAAAATCTACTAGCTGTAAAAAGTTTCAGAGCAATAAACATCTTGGTTGAAGCAGCTGTAGAAGTCATCTAGTCCAGACACCTGTTCACTGAAGTACTATTACCATAGGATATGTCAGCCAAAACTGGTGAATATTGTCTCGAATGCCTCCTAAATGGAATATTCCATTCCATGACCAGTGGTTTCAGTGCTGCACTGACCTTAAGGAAAATCTTTTTCTTAATGTCTCAGGTGGCAATTTGTGGCTGTTATTCTGTGTTATCGTTTGATGCTACTGAGAAGAATATGGATCTGTTTGTAATTACCCTTAAGGTAGCTATTAGTTATTAGCCTTCCTTTTACTCGCCTAAACAAGTCAAGATCTCTCTACATATCCTTGCTGATGATGTGCTCCAGGCCTCTGACCATTGTATTTAGAGATAGTCTTCAGCTGGCCATTCTTCAGCTTCTTTACATCTCTCAGCAATGGAGGAGCTTCAGGCTGGACAGCCAAATGCAGTCTCCCCAGTGTCAGGCAGCAGGAAAAATTATTTTCCTAAATCTACCAGCCATGCTCCTCCTACTATGGCATAGTTGCCTTACAATGCTATGTTAGCTCACTCAGGCTGGCATCCACTGTAATTCCTCATCCTTTTCAGAGATATAAGCCAGTTGACTCCCAGCTTGCAGGGACGTAGTGTGTTATTCTACCTCATGTGCAGAACTTTGGTCTCCATGAAATGGAGAACTTAGTTGCATAAATCCCTTCTCAACTGAATTTGATATGTATGTATCAGTCAGCTGTTGTAAGACTGCACCTTCTAGAGATATGCTGAGGATGCATTTTTGTGTTATCTAAGTTAGTTATGAAGATTGAACTGTATGGGCCACAGAATCAATCTCTGGAGTACGCCATCTGTTTTTGACTGTGAGCAGGTGCTGAGGTGTTGCTTGTTGTTACCCTTTCAGCTTGGTGGTCTAGCTTATTTTCTACTCATCTAGAAATTCTTTGTTCTAGCCTTGGCAGTGAAGAGTCCTGAAGGCAGTAGATCTTTACCACTACTAAAGTAGCCTGGAGGAATTTTCCTGAATGCATTCATACTGATTCATCAGAAAAAGAATACTATGTGAAAGTATGGGCTTGATAAAGGAAAGACAATATTCAAACTAAAATTATGCGCTGTTGGAGGACAAGGTGGCTGTCTTGTAATGGAACCTCCACAGCTTCTGTTTTTCCCATCTTATTCTGCCTTTATTCCTTTCCTTACCAATAGAAACTGAAATTTAGCTTAATTATGGTTACTTAAGAAGAGGGGATGAATCTTGGTGTGGAAAAATGGAGAAGCTGTTATTGATAACTAGTATCCCAATCAAACTGCAGCAGGGAAAAGTCCCTTTCACCTTGTGTTGTCCAAACCTGTCAACTCAAAAGATACTCTATTAGGAGAAAAATATTTGACATTCCTTCAAAACATTTAATTACAACAGCCTTTCCCCACCATCCCAGATAGACTGGAAGAATGTCAAAGGGTGAACAAATTAAATCAGTGTCTTTATTTTTGCATCGGCTTCAAATGTTCCATGGGTGGAAAAGATGAGGCCAAATGAAATATGTTTTCTGTCTAAATGTGCATGGCTCTGGACTCAGAGTTTTCGTATTCAAACTCTATGCCTGTAGTCCATACCTTTCAGCAGGAGGTCAGAAATGAAAACCACCCCATAGGTCCAGATCAGAGCTTTTAAGAAGAATTCTTCTATTCATTCACGTCTTTGCACCCTTCCTCATTAGGGTCCAATTTCTTTTTGCTTCCTGTTAGCTTAAGGGGAATTACACATCCATATGGTAAAAAGAGAATGAATGCCTTCTCCCTCTATAGTCAGTAAGGAAAACCAGAGGAAGCATCAATTTGTAATACAAGATTGCCAAGGAAATCCTTAGCAATTATTACATCACAGTTGTGTAAATATAAGTATACAATTTCTCCTCTACACCTGAGAAACTGCAGAGTTGAGCTGCATCCCATCTTTGTGCTGTACGACTGAATGGTGCCAGACATAAGTTCTAAGGGAGAAGTTTCTCTGGTTGCTAAGCTGGCCAGGTGACCTACCTGTACAGTCGCTGGACACTGAGTATCCTTGTTTGAGCACAAAGTTGCTATTATTGCTGAGGTACTGCTTTATTAGTTATTTCTCTCTGCCGTCGGTGATGGGATTTAATCTTGAGTAATCTGAGGTGGAAATGAAACACAATGCAAAGCAACCCAAAGGGCTTTCTGCTTCAGACAGGCTTATTTAGTTTCCCATGTATGACACAGCTTACTGAATACCAAATCAGAAATGTGCTGGTAAAGTTACGACTCTTTTCAGAGATGGAAGAGAAATCTCCCTCGCTACATACCAGCGCTGTGATGTGTTCATACTGCAGGTGTTGCTGATCACATGAAAGTGTTTCTCAGCACCAGGTGTAGGCGATGACAGTAGTGCAAGTTTGTCTTTTGGACAGGCAATACTTTTTATACAGACATTGTACTTTCAGTGCCTTCCATTAATTAATTAATTCCTCTGTTTGTTTTTAAATTACTATATCAAAACCCTGATCTGAGAAGAAAAAAAAAAAAAAAAAAAAAAAAACCACAACCAAATATCTGGTATTCTGGTCCTAAATCCAGTCCTGCTTTTCCTGTGGATTTCATTTTTAATCTTTAGTGCTTGATTGCACAGACCCCTGTGGAACTGCTTGGGCGGTGTTGCCCTGTTGGAGGCCATCTTGTGTGGCCTACGCAGGTCGTCACAGGAGATTAGCATGCAGCTCACAGTGCTCATGCCCGCTGGTCTCTCCTGATGAAATTCCGGAGCATTAACCCGCTGTGGTACATACATCCAGCAGCTCTCTGAGAGGATTATCCTGAGTCTGAGTGACCTGGGCCCTTCTTTTTTCCTCCTCTTCACAGTTTTCCTTTTCTGCAAAGAGTATGGGGATGTCATTCCTTGGTGCGTTAGGAAGCATCACAACTACCAGGCTGGAGATACCCAAGGCTGATTCCTCAGCCCCCATCTGTTTATCCAGCTGCTCTGTTCTGGATACGTACCTCCACAGACCTTTATAATGATTTGCTGTCAGAAAGGAAACTGCCCTGCCCTTGCTTTCCTCAGACCTTGGATTTGTTCCTCTCTGATGGCCAATTCAAAGGCACCAGACAACAGAGAGGTGAAGGAGCTGGGCTCCCAAGGCATCTTGCTGTGCAGTTCCAGAATGTTGCAGACCATCCCTCCACTCCATTCTGAGTATCTCGAAGGATGTGGGTGAACATGGTTTTCTCATCGGCTTGCCACCACCCAGCTTTTGTGTTAGAGACTTCCTCTGGCCACACGGGTACAGGGAGGGAGATTTCCCTTCAGCTCAATAAGCTACTGCAATGAAGTGACTACAAGTCCTTCATCTTTGGTTACTTATTCTCTTGGCACTTTAGTGAGAGCCAAAGAATCTGTTTTCCATTTGCTGTACTTTTGCTGGAGACTGTAATTGCTCTTTGAACCTGTGGGAGCAGGAAACCCATTAAAGGCCCAAGAGGACAGGGATTCAGTGCCAACCAACATTCCTCATCTCCTTTCATCCTGCAAAAGGAGAGTGCTTCTGGTTTCTCCAGAAGGGATATTACTCCATTTTCTTCAAATTTAAGGCTGATTTCAAGAGTAATCCTACCACTCACCTTATAGCAATCATTATTCCCGCTATTATCATTATTATCTTTATGGTTATTACTATCACTAACACTGAAATGTTTATGGAGAGGTCATTAGAGGAAAGGTACATATCAAGCTTGCCTTTCAGTATCTTGCAGACTGTCAAGACAGATACGATAAGAAAATCCAGGTGGAGGGCAGGTGACATCAAATCTGCAAGCAGCACAGCAATCTTGGTCAAGGCTTTTAAGGAAATGAGAACGAGAAGGGTGCATATTGTATGGGAAGTAAGAGGTAGTTGTTTCAGGTAGAAAAAGTATGAACAATCTCCTGCGTGTGATACATTTTTGCTGTTCTAGCAGCCACCCAGCAGGAATTTGTCTGAGGGAGAGGACTATCAGCTGTGCCCGCCTACAATTGCAGTTGGTACTCTACAGGACGGGGCATGGCTCAGAACAGGTAGGATTGGTTTGCTGCTTGATTAGCCTGGATATGCACAATTTTTGCTAATGGTAAATAATCTTCCAGAATGTAGGCTGCTGTCACTTTGCTTCAATACAGTGTGCTTCTCAATTATTTTCTTCTGTGTGAGAGCCTTTATGTAGCCAGTTGGCCACAGAGTCTGCCCCATGGATTCTGGAGTTGTAGATGGCAATCAGCACAGGACCAAGAAAACTAAGCCAGAGAGGGAGTATGTAAGAAACAAAGGTAATACTAAAGAACAAAGGTCTAGTACTAGGAGTAGGAAGATACAGATTTTCTAAGCATAAAAACTAAGGTAAGAAAGCTTGGGTCTGATGCACTGAAAGGAAGCCAGAAAACATGATTTTAAGGATGACCCAGACGCAATATGAGCCTGTTATGTTAGTGTACTTTACAATAGCTAGTCTTTCTGTGCCAGGCATTGGCCCCTATGCTGCTTCAGTCATGAAAAGCTGCACTAAAAGTGACACAATGAACTGGTGATGAACTACTTCAGTGCGTGTAAGCAAAATGAATCTTCCAGCACTGCTGTCCCATCCTCTGCTAAAATGGTCTCCGTGAGGAAATGGGAGGAACAAAGATATCCCAGCATATCATAGATATCATACAGCTGTCAGAATGGCCTTCGGGGTTCTCTAAACTATGCCTGGGACTGAACCCTGATGAAGGGAGCTAAACAGTCCTGTACAGGGGTCAGTAATGGCATCTGCCATGTTACCTCAGAGATAGTAATAACTAAAGAAAAACTGTTACCTCCGTTATATATTTCTGCTTACAAGAGAAAAGGAATTTGCTAGGCAGCATTATGGAGCAAATCCCATCACACATGCTATGAGAGAGTCACCGATTCCTGTGTTTGCAATGGTCCTATTTACAGAGTTGAACTTCAGAGCAGACACCTCATGCCCAATACAAAATATCATTTTGCATGGAGAAGGATTTTGTTCAACTCTGCAGTTAACAACAACGACCAGCTTCTGAGAGCGGCAAGCCCTGGCTGGGAATTGTTCCAAATTCTTTTATCTCCAAATAATCTAGTATAAAGAGCAAGGAAAAAGCATTTGTTCTGATCCTTGGCATTGCCCAGATAGTTATCTCCTCTCTTACTTATTCTTTGTGTACTCTAACTTTCTTTGAATAAGGACATATTTCACACACAAAAAGCTTGCATGAAAACTATGGATTCAAGTGCTCAAAAAAGTTAGGAAATCCGGGACTAAAGTTACCCAGGCAACGTCTGTGCAGATGGGTTATGATGCAGACTTCATTTCAAAGTCCACAGACTGTAGTTTCCTCCAGGCACTCCTTGGCTCCACAGGCAGGAGGGAACTGCTCAAGGGTTGTGAAAGCATCGAAACAGTTTTCTGCATTAGCCCTTGCCTCAAGTGTTGTGGAAAGTAGGTGGGCACTGAGTGAGGTAGGGGACTGCAGGAAGAACTAGGGTCACCATGGGACTCGTGCCATGGGCTGCTGCCCTGCAGAGCTGGCATCCTGGCACAGCCGTGCAGCTCTGGTGTGACCTGGGGCAGGTTGTCCTGTGCCAGAATTCCTGCAGTTGATTGTGACATGGCTGCCTTGTGTTTTTTTTTGATACCTCAACGAGTGGTTTGAAACAGTTTTCTGAGGCCCAGAAGTGTTATTTTTAATAAGAATTGCTTTTCTGATCCTGTCTGCAGACCAGGCCTGCAAAGAGCTGAGTGCAGGACAGGGGTGCAAGCTGTTGTAGCTGGTGTTGTAACTGGTGTTTGTTGTAGCTGGTGTTGCAGCTGGAACCTCTGGATAGTTGAACCACAGCCAGCTTGAAAAGGGACTGAGCCTTCACAACTGCATCTTGGTTTTGTGCTTTGAATACAAAGTGCAGCAGCATGCTAGGCACAGTGAAAGCACAAGTCCTTGTTTTATACGGTATTCAAAGTCTTTTGACTCTACAGTTTTCAGTAGGCAACCTCTCATGTACAAGATCCATAATAGCTACTGCAGTGCTGTGATGTTCCTGAAGCAGCTACATACGATATCTTGCTGAAAGCCTTGAACTCAAGAGGGCTTTCAGTCATTCTGCTCTCAGAGCACAGTTTAAATCCTGTGTGCTAGAGATGATCTGTGTCTATCCACTAAGCAGAAGGATAAAGCAAAGTATGAAACACTAATCTGTTAACTGCAGAAACGAGGCAGGAATCCTGTGAAAGAAATTATCTACATTGGAGGGCTCGAACAAGGGAAATTAAAACTTCAGTGGCAGAGAAAGGGCACTTCCTGTAGCCCTTCCTGGCTTTGGACACATGGTTGTATTTTAGCACACTGTTGTGCTCAAACTATACATTCACAGTCATCTTTTGTAGCTTTCCAACCTAAAATACATTAGACATCTACAGATATCATTTTATTGTTCTAACTAGGAGTAGTTTGGCCTTGAACTCAATTAAACCAGAGCAAACCTTGTGTACAGATATCTTGTTTTGGAATAAGTTACTTATTTGACTTGGCTGCCTTTGGTTTGTTTGTGCAGGCCTGAATGATGAAATACGAGAATCTCAGACATCTCTCCATCTCTCCTCAACTTAATATTGTGCAGACCCTTCTGGATGGGCTTGCAGCATGTCCCTGGGAGACAGCAGGTATGTGTAGGATCTGGAGAGTGTTCGAGATGGTGGCGGATGACCTATCATCAGACTTTTTTTTTGGAAGATAAGTTCAGGTACGCTTCTGTTATGGCAGCCCCCTCGCACAGGAAATTTAAAAATATTTTTGATTGCAGAGGAAAAAGAATGTAATCAAAATAGTATTTTTAAATTTATTTGTTTATTTATCTATGGCTTGTTCTCTGTGCCTTCTCTTAGCTTTCTCCTCCTTGTTTACAACTTCGAGGGAAAGACGCCAGGTTCTTTCACCCCCTGAAAGGTTTAACACAGTTTAAAGAAGCAGCTTAGGATTTTTCCTCAGTAATAACTGGCAAACAAAGCTAAATCCTTTTGCAGAACAACAAATTTAATCGGACAGGCAGCTTTGCACCAGCTTCCGCCAATCCACAGCCCACTGCGGAGGCACAGGCATCTACAGGGCCAAAGCCGTCCCTGGGGAGGCTGGCAGTGCTCCAGCCCCAGCCTGCCCAGGAGATAAAGCTTCCAGCCTGTTGGGAACAAAGAGCAAAGCCTGTGACTGTCCCATTGGTACTCACCGTTGGGAAACTATTACAGGAATGTGCAGTTAAACGAGCCTCTACACACAAGCCTCTGTTTTTTTCTCCTTGAGATAAGATTTTGTGCTATGTATTCTCAGGGCTTCCCCTGTTTTGCTGGCCAGAGGAATCCTGGCTTAACCCAGCAAATGATGGAAAGGGCCCAAAACAGAGGACACAGGCAGGCCTTGTCATCTGAGGTTCCTGCAAACCACCTGGCAGTGCACTGGGGAAGGGTTTTTTAAGGCAGGAAGAATCACCCCTGAGGCATCTATCCACAGTGAAAGCACACAGCAGCTGGATGCTGGCTTGGGGCTGCCTGAGAGAGATGGCACCAGCAGTGTAGCTGGGATAGCCCAGAGCACAGGGTGCACAGCCTACCCAGTTCTAGGGCTGGCTAATAGCTTGCAATGAGCTCCACAGTTGAGGTTATCAGCACATGCACCATAGAGCTTATAGCCAGAACGAACTCATCTGCCTGACCCACGGACTGGCCTCTGGTTGCAATGTCACTATACTTAGCTCCTGAGCCCCCTCCTGTGCTGGTTCTTTTGGCATTGAATACACATAATACATCTTCAAAAGGAAAGAATAATGCCCTCCTTCCACTCAAAGGCTAAATGGAGAAAAGCTTTGTTCAAACACAAGTGCACAAAAAGGCTCCAAAGTCATTTTCTTGAAAATGGCTGGGAATACTTTCTTTCTTTGCTTCTGAGCTTTTTCTTAATCTTTTTTTTTTTCTCTTTTTTCTTTTTTTAATGTAAATACTTACAACAATGGCTAATTCTCAGAAAAAAATGTAAGCTATTTCTCAGTGGGATTCTGGTCTGCCCGTTTCTACATTCCAAACTTTTGTCTTTAATGCTGAGGTCTTGGCTAAATTATATAGCTCCACGTTTAGCTAGGTACTCCATTTCCAGAACTAGCCTGTTGGGACTGAGAATTATTCCTGTTAAAAGCCTAAAATAAAATAATCTCTTCCAAATGACTTGTTCTTGGCTCTGGCAACTGATTGTGTATATATGCCCTAAGCTGTATTAATGTGGAAGTAATAGATCACAGAGAGCTTTTAGCATTGTATATGTTACTCACACATTAAGCCTACAAACATGACATCACTGCCCTTGTTCTGGGCTCTGGTGATGGTGTAGCCAAAAGGAGTAACTGAGAGCACACTGCATTGTTCTTCTCAGCTGCTGGGGCCATATTGACTTTGTGAATCATGCTCAGCATGCAGGGATGGTACAACCCATCATTAGTGTTACTCATGCAATGCCTTAGTCTAAGGAGGGGATGTTGCTTGCTCTAAGAAAACAGGGAAGAGCAGAAAAGTTTGGGAATGGGTCACAAACTCCTTGGCATCTCTTAGCCTGTCTGAGTTCACTCATCCGTGGCGCAGAAACAACAGTAAGGTCTTAAATTGTTACAGGGGGATTGTCTTGAGGCTTATATAAGATAACTATTATTTTTTGGTGAATCCTATTGAGATGCTTAAGCTGGCTGCAAGGTGCAAAGAACTGACTTTGAATACCTTCCTTTCTTTTATCTTTGTTTGGGCTGCTCAGAGAGGTGGAGAGCTGGAAGAGGAGGATTGCTCTGCTGCCTTTCTTTCTGAATAAAAGGAGCTGAAAGAGCCTAGAGGCAGACCTAATATCCATACGTCTTCTCACTATATGTGAGAAGATTTGTATAAGAAAACAATCATAATTTCATCATAAAAATGTGGATAATACAATTTTCAGTAAGTGTGAAAAGCTGGGACTAGCTGTGCCCATTGTGGGTGACCACCTTTAGCTTCAAGCAATTGTTTGCAGTCCCTCAAGAGGCAGAAATACAGCAAACTAGAGGGCCAGCAGTTTGTTTAAGAACTTATCTTTGAGCAGCCAAAAGCCAGGACTCAGTGAGGATGAAGAGCAGTTAGCAGGAACTAAAAGTGATGGGGCATGCTTAGCTGGAGCCACCAAGAGGAGCAGCTAGTGGAGCCAGAACAGCTATAGAAAGCAGCAAGCTGCAAAGATCAGTCAGTGGCTCCCACTACAGCTGCAGCTCAGAAGAACTGTCTGCTGCCCAGTAGGTGAGTGGTGGGGGCCCCAAACTGTCAGCTGTGCAGAGAGTTTCCAGATCTGAGAGGAACAATAATCTGCTGTAGTGACACTTCAGAAGACAATGAGAGATGGCTTTGGTAAGTGCTCTGTGCTATAGGAATGGGTATCTGTACTGGTTATTCTGTATATGCTCCTTTGTCCTTTTCTCATTTTTCTTTAGTGCTGTTCTGTTAAACCATTTATGATTTGTGGGCAAGGAAGCAGAGCTCTGTGAATGCTGTTTAATTTTCTCAGGTGGGGAGTCGGAACACGAAATTCTGGTTATTAGTGACCCTTAGAAACTGAACTCTGCCTCTGTCAAAGTTTGGATGAAAGAGTTCACTTCTTGCTTCCTTCATTTTTTCCCTTGGTACCACAAAAATGGGGGTTCAGTTTTTATATACAACTATAAGAGATAGATAAAGGGCCTGAACATCTAACAGTCTTGCAGTTTCTTATACCTTTCCTAAGTAGAGTTTGAGTTCTCTGCATCTGAGGCATGCTTACCATGTGTGGTATCAGTATGTGAAGGTGTGTAGGGGCCAGTTATAAAATCACAGGATCACAGGGCTTAAAATGGACCTCTGGAGATCATCCAGTCCAACCCCCTGCTAAATCAGGATTCCTACAGTAGCTTACACAGGAAAGCGTCCAGGCAGGTTTTGAACATCTCCAGAGAAGGAGACTCCACAGCTTCTCTGGGCAGCTGGTTCCTGTGCTCTTCACCCTCAAGGTAAAGTTCTTTCTCATGTTTGTAGGGAACTTCCACTGCTCCAATGTGAGTCTGTTGCTCCTTGTCCTGTCACTGAGCATCATCAAGAAGATGGAGCCTTGCCCTATCCACTTGACACACCTCCATTAGATATTAGCACTGATAAGATCTTCCTTCAGCCTTCTCTTCTCCAGGCTGAACAGTCCCAGGGCTTTCAGTCTTTCCTCATCAGGGGGATGCTCCAGGCCATCTCGGTGTCCCTCCACTGGGCTCTCTCTAGATGTTCCTTGTCTTTCTTGAACCGGGGAGCCCAGACCTGAACACAGCACTCCAGATGTGGCCTCAGCAGGGCAGAGAAGAGGGGAAGATCACCTTCTTCGACCTGCTGGCTATGCTCTTTGTAATTCACCCCAGGATGCCACTGGCCTTCTGGGTCACAAGGGCACACTGCTGGCTCATGGCCAACCTGCTGCCCACCAGGACACCCAGGTCCTTCTTCACAGAGCTGCTTTCCAGCAGGTCAGCCCATCACCTGTACTGATTCATGCGATCATTCCTCTCCAGGTGTAGAACTCTGCACTTTCCTTGGTTGAACGTCATCCCGTTCTTCTCTGCCCAACTCACTGCCTGTGTAGGTCCAACTCATAACATCTTGCTTGATTTTTATTCCATATATTCACTGTACTGTTGGATATTCATGCTGTAGGCCAGACAGTGATGTCTATTGGGAAAACACAGTGTTCTGCACACAAAGGCACAGGAATATTTTCTCTTGGGGATACTGACCAAACAAAACCTCAGGGGATATGGGGTACAAAAGGTGGCCAGGAGATCCTGAAGAGCAAACTCAACAGCACAAGTCAAAACTCTGTAGCCTGGACTTAAGTATAGGTCAAAAGAGCCCTGATGAAATCCTGGGTAAATATCCAGCAGGAGAATCACACACTAGCACCAAGGCACTGCACTTTGTTACCTGGGCTAGCTAAAGAAATATTAGGTGAGCCATGTCCCCATGACATTGTCTTGTCCCTGGAGGATAGTGTTCTGAGTGTTTTGAGTTTCACCTAGGAAGACTGAGGAAGGAAGTGGTTGCTGTTATGTTCCCCCTGCAAACGGGGCCAGAGGTATGCTGTGATGCCATAAATATTGCCCAGAGCCAGCAGGAAGGCTTTTTTCAGCCAGTCCATGGCCACCTGTGAAAAAGCTTCTGTTCTGATGGCCTCTCTCAGGACTGCGCTCCTAGACCAGTACAAACAGTATAAGCAGTGTAAAAATGTGTGTTACATTTGCCCTCTTTGTAGTCTTAAGACTGCTTTTAACTCTTTGCGAAGGTGAAAACAGCTTGAAATGGGCTCTAATGTATTAGAGTGCCCTTAAGCCTGAGAGACTTCTTCAGTCAGAATCAGGATGAGGGGGGGATGCAGGGGATGCAGGTACAAACTGGCCTGAGCTCGCCCTACAGCCCTCAGCTGCAAGGAAAGGTAAATGGGGGGGAAAGGGAAGAGGGGCATTTGAGCTGCAGCAGAACTGGTGCTTGTGCCACGGCTTACCAGCTCCCACTGCAAGCAGACAGTTAATCCTAGTGCTGCCCTGCCCTGCCTTGCCCTGGCTGAAGGCTGGACACACTACTGCATTCAGCCCACTCATTCACTCGCTTTTTATTTGGATGGACTTGAAGCTATTCCCATGGTGTTCCATTCACATGGACTTGATCTATTGCCATGCTCCTCTATCTATATCGGAAGAAAGTCTAGAGCAAACTCTCCTATGCCATTATGTGCCCTTTTCATTGCTACTCTGGCTGGATCTCCTTAAATAAGATTATAAGGTGTCTAGCTTACTGCATCTACAGCTTTCTGAGCTTCTCCATTCAGAACAGCATGTTCTGCTTATTTCCTACAAAGGGGAAGGCTTCATGTGCAAGATGCTGCAGAGAGCCTTTGCCCCCACCCAAAATCTTGTTTTTCAGAATGACGCACAGCCTGCTCTGCTGTTACTTAATATACAGTGAAGTCACTGCTTTCCTCTCCTTCAAACTGCTCCACCCTCAATCAGGAGGTCTGCTCCTCCACCCTTTGGCAAAACAGCTGCTTGGGGGTGGAGGTGAGTTTAGTGGTGGTGTTGACCATCCCCTCTTTTGGGGAAAAAAAAAATATAAGAAGTCTAGTCCTATCAGAATGCAGTTCTGGAGCTGGAACCAGGCCTGACAGCCTTCCTCCCTTCAGTGTTTCAGTATTTCATGTGAGCATGTCTGTGTAAAGTCATGTGTGTGAGTCTATGGGTCTAGTCTAGGGCACAAGGAAGTATGAGAGTACAGCACACCACTTGACTGTTCTTCATCTGCTATTTTCTTACCCCGGGGGGGAAGATTTCACTGAAATACCTACCCTGCTCCTTCGACAGTTGGGAAGAGGAGGCAGAGAAGTTGGTGTGTGTATGGTGTGATGTGTGGCTAGGTACTCTGCTCTGCTCAGGCTTTGCTGACAAGCAGTGAGAAGTAAGAGAGATCCTCAGAGCCAGCTTCAGCTGCCTCATTTTGCCTTAACTCCATCAGCAGTGTGAATACAAGTAGCCCAGAAGCTGCCTATATACACACCAGCATCCTCTTGGGACCATCAGCCAACAAAACGTGCCTGGAACACAATGCAGTGTAGCCACTCTTCCTTCTCACCCTTGACATGCCCTTCCGTGCATGCTGGTGGCTATTCTGAAAGGGTGCTTGGTGTACAGTTTGCTGAAGACACCACAGGCAGGGGAGGGAGGTTTGGATTGTATTCTCCTTCCTCGGAGAGAAGTATGTTGACAAATGGGGCCATGGCATCATGGGGAAGGCTTTTGGAGAATGCATTCCCTCCAAGAGGTGGTATATCCCCTCAGAAACTCTGTATGTAAAGGGCAATATCTGCAAATGTTTAGAAAAGTAAGTGTAATCGAGGAAGGAAACATAAAAAATATGTGCAGGAAACCTGCCACAGAAGGGAAGTCAAACTTTTCAACTGGTTCATGCAGAAGGCGACAACCGGTGGGTCCCACTCCTATATGAGGACAGAGCTAGTGGGGAACAGAGCACAAAAACTGGAGGTATGGAAAGTGAGGCAGTAGCTGATCCTGTGGTCAGGCTGACTGGCTTTCCTGGGTTTGAAGGATTGATAGGGCCTTCACCTGCCGTAGAGCAAATGTAGTTCTCTTTTTGCTTTGCTGAAACTAACAGAGGAGCTCTCTGTGTATGCAGATTCTGATTGCTTCAGCCATTCCACATCAATTCATGGCTTCTATTCCTGCTGTCACCCCTTTTCAGCCACTTCCTTGCTGAAACAGCTGTTAACTTTACTATGCTAACTCAGATGGTTCATAATTACTCACATCAAAATAACTAACTCAAAAAGAAAGCAGTAAACAGAGGAGCCAGGGGTCCCACAAGCTTTGTTATTTGTTTATGTGGAGGTAGCATCTCACTCAAAAAATAGCAACCCCTTCATGCCAGGTGCTGCACAAAAGCAGAACAATAAGTCTGTCTCCCAGAGGGAGACATATCTCAAAATCACATGAATGATTTTCATATTAGCCAAGGCAGACAGAGTGCACAGAAATAATGAGCTAATACTAGTTAATGCCAACGGTCTAGGACTTCAGCTTTGCCATTGTTACAGAGCTTGCATTCCTGGGTCAGAGAAACCATATTTTTGGGGAGGTTCAGTGGAAATGGTTTTGGGATTGTACCAAGGTCCTCCCAGGATTCCAGTTTTCTTAGTCTTCAGTCTCAAAGGAATTTACAGCTGGCTTGGGCAGAGCTGGAAGTCCCCACAGGAAGAATTTTGTTGATATTCAGTCTTTGCGGGACAGAGGGCTTGTCTGTAACGGGCAGCACATGTATCTGGCCACATCCACTGCACCACACCCAGGGCTGCTCCAAAGTGGATAGATTTTCAAGGACTCACATGACTGTCCATCTGTCCAGGGATTATTAGGAAAACCTGTATATGGTTTACGGGAGGGAGCTCCCCACTATTCATACCTTTGGTCTGGACAGGACATACAGAATCATAAAATCACAGAATCGTTAGAGCTGGAAGGGACTTCTGGAGATCATCCCCCTGCTAAATCAGGTTCCCTAAAGTAGGTTACAAAGAAAGCATCCAGATGGGTTTTGAACATCTCCAGAGAAGGAGACAGAGTATTCTAGTGCTCAGTCACCCTCAAGGCAAAGTCCTTTCTCATATTCCAATGGAACTTCCTCTGTTCCAGTGTCTGTTGCCCCTCGTTTTGTTGCTGAGCACCACCAAGAAGATGGAGCCTTGCCCCATCCACTTGACACACCTCCATTAGATATGTAGAAGCATTGGTAAGATATCCCCTCAACCTTCTCTTCTCCAGGCTGAACAGTCCCAGGGCTTTCAGTCTTTCCTCATCAAGGAGATGCTCCAGGCCCTTCACCATCTTGGTGGCCCTCCACTGGGCTCTCTCTAGAAGTTCCCTGACTTTCTTGAACCAGGGAGCCCAGACCTGGACACAGCACTCCAGATGTGGCCTCAGCAGGGCAGAGCAGAGGAGGAGGATCACCTCTCTCAACCTGCTCTTTGTAATGCATTCCGGGGTACCAAGGGCACATTACTGGCTCACGGCCAACCTGCTGCCCACCAGGACACCCAGATCCTTCTCCACAGATCTTCCTATCCAGCAGGTCAGCCCCTAACAGCCTCTCCTGAAACTGAAACAAGCTGCCAACTTTGCTCTTAAAAAATGAAGAGGATCTTCAGACATCTGTAGATCTTCCAGGAAATCTGTGGGAAGCCAGAGTCAACCTGGGATGCCCCCTGTGCCCCACATGTGCTCTGTTCATTGCCAGACTTCTCCAAAAAGCTTAGCTGTGTTGTGTCTCTGCTGCCAGCAGTGCTGACTACAGCTGTCAGAGTCCTGCTGCATCTCTGTATAGTGGAAAATAGCTCCCTGAGTAGCATAACCTCACCTGAGAAAAACCTGTATGCATGGAAAAGTGACATTGGCAACTCAGCAGGCTCGTTTTTTATGAAGACAGACCATGTCCTGCTAGCCAGCACAGAGAGCTACAGGCAGCCTTCTCCAAGATGTCCTAGTCAGTATTCTGTTTCTGGTCCAAATCAAAACCAGGGCAGTCGGCCCAATTAATAACAGAAATCTGCCCTCTGTCAGCTCAGGGACTACTGCTCTTCCGCTCTTGAGGGGAACAGTAACTAACTTCTCTTAGCTTCTCAGAGCCAAGGTCTTTTATATGAGAGACCTTCATATTCCTCACCTGACTCAAAGCCTTAAATCTATCAACTGACAATAAGGGTCCTGAGTTGATTTCTTAGCCCTGAACTTAATTTTCTTGTAGAGCCAGCTTCTCTTTCAGATACCTTAGGGGACTATATGCCTTTTTACTGTTCTCAATACCACACATATATCACTCAGAGCATATAAAGAGTAAAGCATCCTCTACAGATTTCTATTGGTAAAGGATGGGAGATTCAGGGGAAGTAACAGACCCACTTGCTGCTCAAGTTTATGAGAAACATTGGCTGAGATGGGAGACATCATCTCAAACCTTTTAACTTGCTTCTGCATCCTGTGGTGCTTCTGGTCATCAGATTCATGAGAAGCTGTAGGGCAAATGTGGTGAACCATAAAACACTGGCAGCACATCAGCACAGGAGTGTAAAACAGGTACAGCTCAGACTTCTGTTAACATCACACACGTACAGTATGAATACCACATACAGCAAGCTTGTTAATCCCTGGCACCACAGCTTTATTGTCACAGTGTCCATTTTGAACCCTCCCTAATGTGTACTCTGTGCCCTTTTGCAGGGACTTACTCTGACTGTTGCATCTGAGTACAGTACTTGGGACAGTGTGGTTTTGGTTTTCCTGGAGAAGAGCCTGTAAGTAATAAATGTTTATCTGTCATAGTCTGCATAGGAAAGGCCATGGGATGTCCATGGGATGATAACATCTTTGGTGGTTACCATAAAAATTTCAAGAGTATGTCATTCTTCTCATACACTTCTTTAAAAAAAACCCACAAACTTGGTATGCTAAGAACTTCTAATATGAATATATCTCCCTTATTTGGAAAAAAACAAATTGTGCTTCCAATTTCCTGATCCCACTTCATTTTTGATATTTGACCTGCAGATTAGAGGTTTTCACGTCATCTGTCAGCCCACAGAGAGTATCCCAAGGTTCACTGTGTGTGAGAGATAGGAAAGGGACATTAGGAACAGGACAACCACAAATAGCTAAAATTAACTCTGAGAACTGGAGTGCTTAAGTCTCAGAGGAACACTAGTCAAAGAAAGAAAATGGTTATTTGCTGAACTCCCACTTATTCTGCTGCCTCTCAGGACTTCTGGCTCGTATCCCTGTTATTTTAGAGGATTTCCCCCACCCTTTCCCTCTCCACTGGCCATCGTTTTCCTCTTTTGTAAATTCAGTACAGTGTGACATGGGATTCCTGCTCCAGCAGTAAGTTGCTGACTGGAAACAGGAAATGGGGGGCCTATTTGGAGCTCAGCCCCTATGATAACATGAACATCACACCCACGTGCAGACAGGGACGCTTCTCACATATGGCAATGGTTAGCAGCTCCCCCTTTTTCTCCTCTACTCTCTTCCCTGAAAGGGCTACAAAGCCCTCGAGGGGTCTTATATTGAGCTGGAAGCAGTCTTTAGAAAGCGTGGCTGTGTGAAGCCTCAGTTATCATAGCACATGATTTCTTGCATAATTCTTTTAGATTCTCTGAGGCCAGTAAATTGGAGACTGTAAATCTCCACATGACCAGAGCATATGGTCTTTGAATAAGACATGGAGTGAATTACAGAGTGAGCCTATCTTCTGCAGAATCTGATTAAAGGAATCCTTTGAGAACTTTCCCTTCCATGCCATAGGCATGCCTTTACTGCTGCCCCCCTCCTCCTTCCCACCAATGCCTGACGGAATAAGAGTTTTACACCACCAGCTTCTCCCTCTTTCACTTTCTTATTCTCGGAAGACTTTTCTCAAAATAAAACTGAATGGCTATGTCTGCCTTCAGACTATAGTTTCAGTGAAGTAAAAACTATTTAATCGCATTGATATTTGCGGAAACACCTTAGGGGAGTTGAAGATATCGTCTAATTTGAGGAGCTAGGTTCTGTCTCTGCAGTAAGGAGAAGGAAAAGCTCTTGCATTTACTGGGAATAAGATTTTACTTCCTCCAGCCAACTCTCTGTGGTGCTATTTGCTTACAGCCGTGCTGTAAGCTAATGCCATACTAGCCCCCTTAGGCTAAGTCACAATTATATATGATTTTCAGTGTGAAGATTTATTCCGGATAGGGCAAGCAATTTCAAATGAAGTAAAAATTTCCCTTTCTAGCCTATTCCTTCCTCCTCTGTGAGGCAGGTCTGTGCTTTTTTTGATGCTGCAATAGATAATTTTATCTGAATAGTGAGAGAGAATTGCAACACCTTTGGAAGACATCCCTATAGCTATGCTGTGAGCTACAGGATATCAGATTAGTGCCTTATATTCTGACTGTAGTAAGGATTTATCTGCACTAGTAAGACCTCCAATCCCTCCTTCCCCTTTCCACTCACCAAGGTGGTGGTTCTGCTGAACTTGAACTAGAGCAGGATTTCAGTTAAAGAATGCTTGGTTGAAATCTAAGTAACATGAAGACACAGCTTAAATGAAAAAGCCTAAAATGCTTGTCAATCTAATTTTCATACTTTCTAGTGCTAGGAGAAGATTGATAGAGAGCCACTTCTCTTTTGGTAGAGCTCTGTTGTTACAGCTCAGACTGCTTTCTTCTGTGGGTTATCCCATGAGTAGATCTCTCTACAGATCCCCCTGTGCATTGCAAAACTTCACACTGAGAGCCCTTTCCTCTCAGTCCTCAGCTGGGTGTCTAGGGAGAGCTTTATGCATTGCTTCAAACCACTGCTACAGACACTGGGAGAAGGGAAGAATGGGAGCTGCACTGTGGGGCACTAGGGAGGATGGGAGGAAAGGAGAGGAGAGATGAGGACAGAGGTGACATCTGCAACTACCAAAAATTCAGTATCTCTTCAGCCTTGTAGCACTTCTGATGAACCACTGCTCTGGAGCAGCCCAGGCTTCCACAACCAGGTACTTGGTTTAACACTGCACTTCTGGTGAACACTCTGAGTACGGTCTGGTGGAGCAGATGTATAGAGAGGTATTTTCTTGCTCAGGGCACATATTCAAGCTGTGGTACCCTCACAGCTTTGGTCCTGCTGTGGAGTCTATACATGAATTCAACACTTTCCTGCTTCATTCCCATGCTGGATGTGGCTCTGGGCAGCCTGGTCTGGTGGTTGGTGACCCTGCCGATAGCGCGGGGGTTGAAACTGAGTGATCACTGTGGTCCTTTTCAACCCAGGCCATTCTATGATTCCTGCCAGCTCTGGGCAGTTGTCACTGCTTCTGATATGCATTTGAAGTCCTTTCTGGGCAGTACCAGTAGGGTGAAAGAACATTCGTCCATCCTATGTGCTTCCCATTCAAAGAGCACTCTGCACCCAGTGTGCTACTTGTTGCTCTTGCTACAAACTGAGTTAAAATTAGGAGTTGAACTCTGCAAGTATAGAACACTGTTTCTTTCAGCTTTTGCTAGTAAAGCAAGATATTGTAGTCCTAGTTCCGTGGTTCCTGGTAAAGGTACTTTCGTTCAGGGCGAAGGAAAAACAGAGGAAGTTTGCTCTGTTCCTCTTTCTTGGCTTCACCTCCAGTTGTGCTGCATCTGGTTACAGATTAACTCTTACTGCACAATGCCCATTATCAGTCACAATGAAAAAACTAAGGTGCTTTCCTGCATGAACAGAGGAAGGCACAACTGAGGGATTGCCCAAGCCCTTTGCATAAAGGGGAATGAGGATGGTAGACTTCTCTTGCTTTCTTCACTGGAGAAAGAATACTGTTTTCACACTGCGCTAAATCAAACACTGATCTTTTCACTGCCAGCATTAATACATGAGGTGTGGAACTCACACTGCAGATCTGAAAGGGTCCTTTGATGAGTGCGTTATTCGTCACTCAGGAAGAGTAAGACAATAAACAAATGACAGAATCCTCGTCATTCCCGGCTGCAGACCTACCATCTCCTCTTTTGTCTCACACTGTGTGCCAAGATTTATGGAGAAAAATTCTAGAACAGTGAGGAAACAGAAGTGCTGCCTTTTGCTCTATAGAAGAAATAGGTCTGTCCTTGAAATTTCACATCAGAAATCCCCAGCTTCTTGTGCCTTGGACAGTGAGTCTGTGTGGGAGAGATGTGTTGTAAGTGAAGCTGTTGCTTACAGTTACAATGCATTGGTAATTTGGGAATACAGGAACAAAAGCACTGAAAAAGTCAATTTGGATTTTAGAAAGTCCTACCCTGAGGCAATCGTCCATTGGGACCTACACACAGCAGAACTCACTTTTGACGCGCGTGTGGTGACATTCACAAACAGGAATCGCTGACTTTGATCCCTGCTGGGACACTGTCCCATCATTAGAGACCATCCTTGTAACTAACACCTTTGTTTGCAACTTCAAGTAAGAAACTAGGAACAGCTGGACTACGGAGATGAAGTGATTTGGCTTATTTTTGTGGGAAGTGTTTGCAGGTTATGCAAGAGAGCAAAAGACAGTAAACTTTTCCTGCAGCTGCACCTGTTATGCAGGTAAAGAGGAGGCCCTTCTTTCAGATCCAACAACCTGACAGTGTCTCCTGGCTCATTAAAGTAACAAAAAGAGGAATGTCAGCTCCCAGGCACTCAACATTCTGCTTTTCATGCATGCAGTGATTTCAGAGAATTTCAACATGCTTTAGAACCAGTGGCACATCCAACAGACTGGCTGGCCTACTGTGTGTGGAGGGACCGCAGCTCTGCTAGCCTCAGCTGGCACTCAGGGTAATGTACAAGATGTGGGGCCATTGCCTCCTGATGGGATCTTTCTCCGTCTCCTAACTTAACACAGTGTTGTGGAGACCACTGTATCATACACAGTGTCTCTGATGTGTAGGAAAAGGGGAGAAAGACTACGCTGGGTGAGGAGGGAGTTCAGTAGGTGTCCTCAGAAGGCTGGTGAGAGGCAGAGAGGGAAGGGGAGAAGGATCTTGATGCTCAGCATGACAAAAATCTTCAGTCTAGTCACATCCCATCCCAATAGAGACTGGGCTCAGCTCCTCTATTTCTCCACAGCTGTTCATCCCTGCCAGCAGCCAGGTCAACCCTTGAGAGAAGATGAGCGATGTCGTGGCTTTCCCCCATGTCACTTCTCAAGGGCACTGATAAGCAACAAGATTTTCCCTTATAATTCCTGGAGGCATTCAAGGCCAGGCTGGATGTGGCTCTGGACAGCCTGGTCTGGTGGTTGGTGACCCTGCAACATAGCAGGGGGGGTTGAAACTCAATGATCATTGTGGTCCTTTTCAACCCAGGCCATTCTATGATTCTAGGATTACCTCTGTCAAGCAGCACAAGAATGGGGATTGTGAGCAGAGGGGCTTGCCTGTCTGCCTTGCTCACACTGGGGAGTTATTTGGCCCTCCGCAAATACATCCAGCAAGTGCAGTGGACAGTACCCTCCCTCATGGAAATGTACAGCACATTGGAGGGGGCAGATGAGTATTTGACATTACACTGACTGATAGGGTTGTGGAAGTGCTGTTCCACTCTTGAAGTTGGACAGGCTACAGTTAAGGAAAGCAGTGGGATCTCTGACATTCACACAAACCTTCAGGCTCTCATTTCACTGAAAGGAAAGCTTGCTCCATAGGTATTCATGCAACTGTGAAGGGACCAGATGTTTCTGTTTTTCTGTGTCTATACCTTCCTCCTCCAGCTCCTCTCCTAGCCCTCTACAGATACTGTCTTCTTCGAGTTACACTGA